TGCAAGGAGGTTTATGTGCTCTATTACAAAACCTGGCAATTATTTAGCTCCTGGGCTTCCCTGATAACTCAGTTGGTAAAGAATCTGCCTGCAACATGGGAGACCTGGGTTCGATCCCTGGGTTGGGAAGATCCCCTGGAGAAGGGAAAAGCAAGCTACCCATTCCAGTATTCTGGCCTGGAGTATTCCATGGATTATATAGCCTATGGGTTCGCAAAGAGTCGGACAGGACTGAGCAACTTTCACTTTTCAAGAGACTGAAGCTTTGAGATCGTCACCTTGCAAACCCAGGGGGAATCTTTGCCACAGGTGGCTTGAACCTATGGACATTCAGACACAGCATAAGTCACCAGGGCATGACAGAAAGAGCAAGTAGGTGTGACTTTGTTTTCCCACACCAGAGCTACATCCCACACCCACTAAGAGTCCACAGAAACCTCGAGGACTCTGGGTCTTCATTTCCAGCTCAGTCTGCTCTGGGACAATGGAAGGGTCCAGTTCCCACCCCTCCCCACAAAAGCCAGGCCCAGGCTCAGAGGCAGGAATCTCCCTGTGCACTGAATGACTGATGAGGGGTTGGTGCCCAGGCCTTCTCATCACTAAGTCCAAAGGCCTCTCTCACCTGGCCACACTGGCCCAAGGACTTTAAAAGTCATGGGTCAAGTGTTTTCCAACAATTCCCTGGAATTTCATGAAAGGATCCTCTTTGGAAGTCTGGTGTGGTCATGCCTCAATCCTTCCTTTTCTTCTAGAACAGCTGGAGAAATAAACAAAACAAGACTATGTACTTCAGACACAACTGGACTGTTTTCTAGAGCAGGCACTTTTGTTGACAGTATTTATTCCTAAATGTGATCACTGTTCATGTCTATTATATAAACTTACTGTTAGTCGCTCAGTCATGTCCAGCTCTTTGTGGCCCTGTGGACTGTAGCCCGCCAGGCACCTCTGTCCATGGAATTCTCCAGGCAAGAATGCTGGAGTGGGTAGCCATGCCCTTCTCCAAGGGATCTTCCCGACCCAGCGATCAGACCTGGGTCTCCCGCATTGTAGGCAGATTCTTTACCGTCTGAGCCACAAGAGAAGACCCATTTGCCATGCTCTCCTCCAGGGGATCTTCCCAACCCAGGGATCGCACCCAGGTCTCCCACCTTGCAAGCAGATTCTTTACCATCTGAGCTACCAGGGAAGCCCAAGAATACTGGAGTGGGTAACCTATCCCTTCTCCAGGGGAGTTTCCCGACCCAGGAATCAAACCAGGGGCTCCTGCATTGCAGGGGATTCTTTACCAGCTGAACTATAGGGGAAGCCCAAGAACAAAGTCAGAGATATCACACTTCATGATTTTTAATTATAAGTCGCTCAGTCATGTCTGACTCTTTGTGACCCCATGGGCTTTACAGTCCATGGAATTCTCCAGGCCAGAATACTGGAGTGGGTAGCCATTCCCTTCTCCAGGGGATCTTCCCAACCTAGGGATAGAACCCAGGTCTCCTGCATTGCAGATGGATTCTTTACCAGCTGAGCCACCAGGGAAGCCTTCCGGAGTAATTAAAATAAACTGGCTACCTAGTTGACAGCAGAATTGCTTAATTTTATAAAGCAGGAGGGATCTGTGATTACTCGGGAAATAACATTTTCTCCTTTGTCCACCTGCAGCCCTGGTTTGGAAAAGACCTACTAAGAGGTCTTGCCATTGTCTGGGATGGACTTCAGCCTGAGAATTCCCTGTACCATGATATTTGGAATTAAGCAGCTAATTTAAAAATAAGGGAGAATAAGTAAGATCAAAGCAGGTGTTTGTTCCATTAAGAGCAACAGGGAGAAATTTATTGCTTTGCTATTTCATTTACCTATGAAGATACACTGCACATCAAAACCTTTCATAGCACTGTTTAAAAACGTATTTTCCTGATAGAAATAGCAACATTCACAAGGCAAGGACAAAAAAAGAGAATCATTTAGTGGAAAAACAACCAGCTAAGAATAGAAAAATGAATTATCACTCCTTAGGTCAATACCCCCACCCGCCACTGGCCTTACCCACCACCCAAGGTTCCCTGAAGGGAACACCTGGATCCACTGACATATATAAGCAAAGGGCCTCTTCTTTTAATTCAGCTAGACATAAAATAACCCCAGTTGCCCTATCCAGACACCTGGATGACTCACTGGCCTGCCTGTTCACACTGCTCTCCCAATATCAAGCAATTAGAACTCTGGGGCTCCTCACCAGCCATTTAAAATTAAAACAAGGAAAAAATCATACGCTTTTGAGGGGTGAGTCACTATGTGAAACGCTGATCCTCTTATTTTGTTTTCTTTAAAGAAATAGGTTGAAAAATAATAATGTAACATTTCCCTAATGAGTATGATGAAAATTATCCTTGCTTTCCAATTCCTTCTTCATGTTTTGCAGTCAGAGAACTTAGTAATCCACTGCTGAACACCACCCAGAAAAACACAAGCAAACTATACAGACCTTGCCCTCTCCCTTTTCTATCTTCTCTTTCTCTCTCTGCCTTGCCAAATTTCACAGCTTATCTATTCTCTCCCTTTTCAAGTTTTGCTTCCGTCTGAAAAAGAGCAAAATTCCTTGAAATGTTACAAATCCTGGCTTCTCCTACTTGCTTACAACCTCCAAATTACTTGGCACCTTTAATCATACTTCCCCAGTTTGCTTGCCACTAACCTCATTATCACCACCACTGCAGCCAACATCAGTCCTGGCTGTGATAGCATCTAGGCACACCTGTTTTTAAATATTCATGACCTGATCACTTTCCATGGGAATTTTTTTTTGGATATTCCCATTTTCAAACTCATGGCACATGGCTTCATGGTAGTTTGACTTTCAGACTTGTAAACTATATTACTATTTACAAGCAGAATTTGAATTTATAAAATGAAGCCAGTATGTGTTTGCCAATAATAAAGTCAGGGACCACTGAGAAAATAATTAAACTTCTCTACCTATATAGTGAGCTCATCTGGTCCCATTAGGAAGTGAAAACTCCATTTAAAAAATTCATATAAGAGTTAAAAGTCAAGCCAGTGCCCTCCCCCACATAACAAGGTCCAGAAAATGCCGTTCTTTCTTGACAAATAGTTAAGTCAAACTTTCGAGAGTCCCCTCTCTCAACCAATTTGACCATATTCCTCAAAGAAAGAAAAGTTTTAAAAACATCAATTTAAAGACAATAAAATCATTTTAACATAAGTTGTTCTACCAACCATAAAAGATTTCCCTCAAACTGAGTTGTTTACTTAAGTTTTTGTTGCCTTTTTTTTTTTTTTAACTTTGGAGTGGTCTTATTTACTTACTGCTATAGGTACATTTGTTAATACTCATGAAGGCTTCAGTCACATATATACAGGCTTTTAGGTATATGGATGTGGCTTCAGTTTGTATATTGGTATTACTCCATTTTATAAGAAAGAATTTTCTGTAGCTAGGCATTCTATGCTTTCAGTGTTGATACACACACACACACACACACACACACATCCCTATGCCAGCACATTTGAAAACTAAAAACCAAAAATCCCCACTAATATGATATGATACTTGCACATCAATGTTCATAGCAGCACTACTTACAATAGCCAAGACATAGAAGCAACCTAAGTGTCCATTGACAGATGATTGGATGAGAAAGATGTGGTATATATATATGTATGTATAATGGAATACCATTCAGCCTTTTTAAAAAGAATGAAATAATGTCACTTGCAGCAACATGGATGGAGATTGATGTTATCATACTAAGTGAAGTAAATCAGACAGCGAAAAACAAACAACATAGGACATCACCTATATGTGTAATCTTAAAAATGATGCAAAAGAACTTATTTTAAAAACAGAAACAGATTCACAGATAAAGAAAACAAACTAGAGGTTACCAAAGGCGAGGGTGGAGAGTCAAATTGGGAGTATAGGATTAATAGATGCAAACTACTATTTATAAACCAGGTAAGCAACAAGGATGCACCATAGAGCACAGAAAATTACACCCATTATCTTGTAATAAGCTATAATGGAGTGTAATCTGCAAAAATAATGAATCACTACGCTGTACACACAAAACTGACACAATGTTATAAATCAACTATACTTCAATTTTTAAAAACCACTTAAATGATACAATATTTAAAATTTTAGTATTAAAAAAAAACATGGAAAATGAACAAAACCCTCATGGGGATCCTTTGAAAAGCTACCTTTGCAACACGGCCCTCAAAATCAGAAAGTGTGCAGACTCACAGCACACAACTGCTCTGTCTCTTAAAGTCAGCTGGTCTGTGGCTTTCCATTCCACGTCTACTGTGTTAACGGAGACCCACTGAGCCCACCTGCCTGGGAAAGCCTCTGACTTTGTCTCTCACTCACTGACGTAAAAAAAAAAAAAAAAAAAGTTTCTAGACTTAGGTTGATGCTAGAAACTTTCTCAAAATTTCTGAAGAGGCACACAGAGTGTTTCCCACCATGATACCTGTGACGGTACCTCACGGAGGACTCCAAATACAAGGCTTCCCTCTGAGGCACCCCACTGGCCTTCCAACCAGCCCTCTCTCCCGGGATGTGCAGGAAGACGAAGACCAGAGGGAGATGTCTCGCCAACAAAGTCCCATGGTAGGGAGTAAGATGGCTCCCCGCCACCCAAGTCCTTTTCCCTCAGACTGGCCCTTACCTGCGGGGGCACAATTCACACGGCTCCCACAGTCCACTGAGAATGCACACAGACGCATTCACTGTGAGCAAGGGGCTGAAGGGCAGGGGTTTATATGAGACGGGGGCGGGGCAAAGGGCTCGAAGTTCCTCCTTGGCCCCCAATACTCACGAAAAAAGCCCTGAAGTTTAACTTAAAAGAGCCTACTCTGACAGATTATTGAAACAATGAAACCCGCAAGGGAGTGAGGGCCCCAGGGTGCAAAGTGGAGTCCAGAGCATTTCCACCCAAAGAACCTGAGGTTTGGGGGCGCCGGGACCACTTACAGACCTAGAGCCTGGGAAACTCCTTTCGCGCCAGGCCCTCCGCCCTTCTTGGATTCTGGGGCTCTTGGCCAGCAGCACCCAGTGAGAGGTGTGGAAGCAGAAGGTGGAGGTCGTCCTAGTCCAATCTGGGTTCCGAGTGAAACTGAACAAGCTCAGGTCTCATCCCAATCGAAAGCGGGTGCTTTAGCACTAGCGGAACCAAAGTCTCGTCCTTGGCTAAGTGTCAAGTCCTGTCAGACTGAGGCTGCTCAGCAGGCAAGCTCAATGGTGCCAGGAACCCCTAAAGGTCAAAGGGGGAACAACTGAGGAAGGGTGTTTTGATCTGAGGTAAAGTGTGACCATCCATCCAAATGGCAGCAGCCTCTCCATTCCTGCCTTTCCCTGAAGAGACACCCACCAGAGCTTCGCAGGGTTGCCCTATGTTACATGATCTGTTTTCTTAAGCCTGTTCTAAAGATTCTTTAAGGAAGACAATTCCCCATTCTTTCTCAGCAACTCATTCCAGAATGGAACAATACTCACTGGGGAAGAGATTTTACACAACATGTTGTTTTTTCAAGCAGGCCAATTTTCTGAGAAGTAAAAAGGACCTTCAGTGAGTTGAAAGATAGGAAGCCAACTTTAATTCAGATCCAGCACGCGGTGCAGAATGAACAAAGGAAATATGAATTTACCAACACCATTAATAGTAAACTTAATTTATAAGGAGGATGACCCTTGCCCTTCAGACAAGGAGGATATGCCACAAAAAGTTCTCCAGAACTTTCTATCTCCAATGCAATCCTCCTGATTTCAAAACTGGATCACTCAAGGAAATTCCCTGGCAGTCCAGTGGTTGGTGCTTTCACCACCAAAACCCGGGTTCCACCTCCTGGTCGAGAAACAGCACCCCTCTCCCACTTCCACAAGAAGAACTGTGCTGCCAAAAAAAAAAAAAAACCCCAAAACAAAAAACTGGATCACTCAATCGTTTCACAATATATACACATATCAAAACATCACGTTAAAATGGCATTTTTAATTTGTGAATCATGTCTCAATAAAACTCAAGGGTATAGGTGGACCACTCTGTGGGTCCCCACTCCGTGAGGTAGTCTTTAAATGTATTCCTTTCTCCATACTAAAATTAAAGACAAAAATCCTAAACGTTTATGGAGTTTAGAAAGAAGCTCCTGAACTCAGTTTAAACAGCATGAGTCCTCCTGAGGTGTATTTTAAGTAGACCATTCTGATTTGTAACCATATTACACCTTTCAGGCATTACAAACAAACTCTAATTCTTAAGTTGAAAAGCTTCATCATGGCATGACATCTGAAATAACCAGGAAATGATACAGCAAAACGCTGTTTAGTGAGGCAGGCATTTGTGTAACAATTCCCAAATCCTAAAGCATAGTGCGGGATGGTGGGGGGCAGGTAAGAAAACTCAGGTCCCTTCTTAACCAACTTTCATGTTCTTTTTATCCTTAAACAAATGGATTCTTTCAGAGCCAGGCTTCACGCAATGGGGCAATGACAGCACGCATATGTATGTAATGCTTGTCATTTGTAGAGCACATCATCAGTGTTAATTAACTTTAATTATGCAATTAGTACTGAGTTGTCAGAAACAACATTCAAAAGAGAGGCATTATTAAATGCATTCATACTAATAACCATCAGCAGAGCTTCCTCAGAAATGAGGCATAACTCTCCCCTGCTCCACCACTTCCAAGCAGAGGGATTAGCAGCAATGGAGCAGGAGAGCTTCGGCTTAAGCATAAATCCTGCCCAGTCCTAGAGAGGTTAATTAGCATCTCTGAAGCCATGGTGTCCTTCTCTGCGTGGCCCAATAATAAATAATATCTGCCCCAGGACTTCCCTGGCGGTCCAGGGGTTAAGAATTTGCCTTCCAATGCAGGGGGTGCAGGTTCGAGCCCTGGTCAGGGAGCCAAGTTCCCACATGCCTCGGGGCCAAAAACCCGAAACATAAAACAGAAGCAATATTGACCTCATAGAGTTGGGAGGATTCACTGGGATGATGCATGCAGAACGCCTGGCACTGGGTCTAGGAGGAAGGAGGCCCTTGTCAGTGAGGCTGTAATTCCCATCAGGAATCACAGAAGCAGGGAGCGTGTCCATTCCCCCCTGAAGACAACATGTACAGGATTTGAGGAACTTCCACTGGTCTTGCTTGGAGGTATCATCTTACGTCTGGTCTTTCTCACAGGGGACCTGCCAATATCAGAAAGTAGCTAGACATTCCTCAGCAAAGAAAGGACAGTCATGAGTAGCCTCTATAGCAAGCCCCCAAATTCCATGGAAGTCTCCAAAGAAATTCCCTGAAAGACAAAAAACCCAGTGATGTAAGGTTTTTATCTCTGTGTGGTCATCAAACTTCTGGTTGTCTGCTTCATCCCCAAAGGAGTTAGCTCATTTTCACATCTCTTAAAGGGAAAGATAACATGTTTGTACACAACCAACATCAAGTCACTCCTGGCCTGTAAAGACACCCACACCCTCGTCCATCTCCAGTTCATTCAGAGGCCATTTTGTGGAGCTGTGGTAATATTTCAACTACATCTGAAATATACTGATCAGTGTGTGATTGGAGATTCCATTAAAAGCCCCCCATTTTTCCTGATATAATATTATAGTGGTTATACCTTAATGAATTATGGTCTATTTTGCTTTTCAAAAAATTCAATGATAAATACATAGAGGAATTTAAGGAGTGCTATTTTAATTCATTTTGAACTTTTAAAAATCTATTGATGAATTCTGGAAGGATCCTCCTTTAATGTCTTGATGCTTTTCAGTTCTATCCATCAAGTAAAAAGTGGACAGCCTCTATGTTGCTACCTACTACATTCTCCATTAAGCCAGAAGTATGTGCCTGAAACATGATCTGCTTCTAGATGCCAACCATCTTCTGTAGAGCATGGTTGTTGCTCCCTGGCAAAAACTCCAGAAACAGAGTCATACTTTCTGGTACTAAAAATGCTCCTTAGGCATGAATTGGCCTACCCTTTTTAGTCCATGTCAGCAGCTTTAACCTGCACTCTTAACTAGAATCCTCAATTCCCACACTCGGCCTCTCCGAAACTGTTCTCCACCCAGCAGCCAGCATGGCCTCTAAAAAATGTTCACGTCACATCATACCTATGGACTAGATACTGTCAGCTTCCCAATCACCACAGCTATTGAGGAAGGCCCAAGCCCGTTCTCACCTCCTCTAATACCCTCTCAGTTGTAATGGATGCTTTTCTGTCCTCACAACGGTAGGACATACACACACACACACACACACACACACACATATATAATCTTGTTATGTATATATATATATATGTATATATATATATATAGAGAGAGAGAGAGAGAGAAATGACCTTATACATAATAGGATATTATATACATTATACATTATATATTATATACATCTTATTTTATACCTATAACTTTGCTATAACTTTTACTAATTATTTTGATTTGAGAAACTATGGAGGAGATATATTCTGCCATTGGAACCATGAAAAGAGAAAAAAAAAAGGGTCCCTTATGGGAGATTATTAACTAAAAGGAAGATGTTGAAATATGTTCTCAGAGAGCCTAAGAACCTATGCTTTGTTCTTCCTCTACTCTCAACAAGAATCAGTTTAGAACATGGAAATTGCCTATGTTATCCACCTTCAGAGTGCTCGTGAAGCTCCCAAGGGAGATGCAGGTGGGTGGGAGTAGGGATCTTGCTGGGGCTCATGCCCTGGTGACCCTGGCACATCCAGGCTGGCCCTCCTAGATGGTCTGGCCCAGATACTCACTTTCTAACTGAGGACATTGAGGCCCACTGAGTCCTGTGAGGACTGTGCAGAGTCTGAGGGCTAGAGCTTGCTGTGCCCAGATGGCAAACCTGGGCCAGGCTGTTTCCACTTTATCATATCAACATGTATTTTGCCCCCACAAAAACGTTGCTTTGAAACAGAAGGTGAACAGGCTTCTGAAGCTCTTCCTGAATCCCCAATAAATAGAAAGATAGACTTAAACATGAGCGTGTCAATAAGTACATTATGAAAATAGTCTAAAAACCTCAATTCAAAGATAAGAATTGTCAGACTGGAGAAATAAAGCAAGGCTGACCTCTACTCTTTTCTACAGGAAAGACATTTAAAAACAAAGATGAAGAGCATTTAAAAGTTAAAGGATGAAAAACTAGATAGCCTGCAAATTCATTAGAATTTCCTATGATTACGTAGAAAAGATGAAATGGCTACATTCATATTAGATGAGGTAGACTGCACACCAAGTAATACTACCAGAGATAAAGACTAAGAGTCCATAACAATAAAAGACCCGATTTAAGAAGACATAATAGAAAACAATTCCATTTACAATAGCATCAAAAAGAATAAAAATACTGAGAAACTTAACCAAGGAAGTCCCTCTTCCTACATACCCGTCCTATGCATCTCTTTCCATGGCTGTTTCTGATTGTATTCTTTTATAATAAACTTATAATCTAGCTTAAAAAAAAAAACAAAAGAAAGAATAGAAGGACATGTTCCTGGGACATCAGCAAGAGGGAACACTCTGGTTCCAGTTGATCAGAGAATCTCTGGCTCTGTGCCATGGACACCATATTTTCTTCTTATTGGAATCTAAGAAGACTCTTGTATGGGTACATGGTGTGTGTATGCCCATGCTTTGCAAGGCGGTCAAGGATCTGGGGGAGTTACAAGTGAGTTGAGCTTCATGTAGCAGGATGGGTCACCATCACAACTTCCCAAGGCCAATCTTTCTTTTTTTTTTTTTTTAATTTAAAGTGCACCTTTAAGATGCCAAAAAATAAAAGCAAGCTAGTTTTACTTGTTTTTTTCATTTGCTTGTATTTATTTGTTTTTTACCAAAAAAAAGGAAAGAAAGGAAAAGGACCTCTGGCAAAAGCTGCCTCCCAAACTACAAGCAGTTCTTCAGGAAGTTCTTAGGTAAGGAAATAAATATGCTGGCCACAAGAACCCTCCCATTCCAGTGCATTCCAGTCATTGCCCTGGACCCTTATGGTAG